TGAAGTTAGTTAGTTTTTTTAAATTAGGCCTCGAAAAGTTGGGCTAGTTTTTGTTCTAGACAGTAAAATTTAGGCCTTTACATGAAACGAGCCCTCTTAATTTCTGATCAAGGATCTGAACGAAATTTTCAAATTTTCATCAAACCTTCAAAAAAGAAATATTTCTTCAAGTTCCCATATCTTGATTTGTTTTATTGAACTTATAACAAGTTATAGAAGTTGGTGAATGGGCTAAATTTAATGCAAACGTTCTTGCAGAAGGCAAGTTGAAGTCATGCCATATTAAAAAAGGAACATGTTATCACTTGCATTAGATTACGCCTCGTCATCTATCATCAGTCGATCACATGGTACGAGGCAATCGAGCAATGCTTTTCCCAAATTCCCATCAAACGAATGCTTACGGTTCGCATGATTGTTAACATTCCGTGACCGATTTCATACGCGTTTCGTCAATTCCTTCTTCTTTTTTCCTTATATTGACGTCCGTATCTATCTCAATTTCGTCAATCCAACGATTCCCTTAATTACATCGACCGATTCGAGTCCCCGTCCGATCCCCCACACGTCCCTGTCGCGAGGCACCGAACAATTGCTAGCATAATAAATGTGACTATGATCTTCCACAATTTTAAAACCAATCTGCCTCGATTCCTTAAGGCATGTGGGGTCATGAAGTAGGGCCCTTGGCTTGTCATTTTGTTGGAAGCTTTCAATTGCATAAGAACATCGAAGGTGCTAACCTCAGACCAGTTTCGATAAGTGCGGACACCTAACTATTATTTTAATTTATAGTACAAGTCCTTTGATGACCCGTTCAACAGTGACATCTCCTTTTCGGAAAATTAAAAAGGGGAGAGAGAAATATATAAGTACGTGAACTTGCTTCACATTGATATGTCCAAAACCAAAAAATGCACATTCCAATTAAAGGGTTAGGGCAATTTTTACTCGCGTCCGGGAGGAGATTAGGTTTGAGAGAAGCACATTTTATAGGATCATTCATAAACGAGTTATTTAGGATCCAAAAGTTAATTACGGTGTCGGGAGTGCACCTGATTATGGACCTGGCTACTCGCGGTGCATCGGCGCCAAACAGGGCTAGGGACTAATTTGGGTAGGGCTAGGGCAAGCACATTACAATTACGAAACTCGGCTCAATCGAAACGCTTCCGTCCCGAAGCAAGGGTCCAGCCTGGCTCGAGTTCGCCCGATCGGTGCTCGAATAATTCCCAAACTCCATTATCGTGACCAGATTAAGATAGGCAAGTCAATATTTCTTACAGATCCGAATCAAAGTCCAGAGATTATAAAGAACATTTTAAAAAGTTTAGAGATCGGGTCGTCTTTTGTTTGAATTTTTGTACCCACATATTCCTAAACTAATATTTCTTAATCTTGGTAGCTGCCTAGCTGGTAGTATCAGCCATTCACAAGAAGGGAGGACTATTTGTCAAGTTCCAAAGAAACAAGAACGTATTTTCTCTTGAACAATGTCAATGTCCGTGTAATGACACACATTTTGTTTGGTTTTCCATCTAGAAGCATGAGGAGATCCGCACAAAAAGTTCAGCTACAGCTGTCACCTATACTCTATAGAATTACATTTTTGTCCTGTAACTTATATGAATTGTGCAATCGAGGTCTCTAATTTTAATTTTACTGTACGGATGCCAATTCAGTTTTAAACTTTTCAATTTTGCCAATGTTGTGATAAACTTTCGCACGAATCCAAAGTAGTCTTCCAACCAATTTTCACTGGAAATCGCCAATATGGCGGTGTGCCATGTAGGATGGCAAGTAATGATTAAACTATCACATCAGTGATTTTCAGTGAAAATCGATTAGAAGGATTATATTGGAATTTCGTGCAAAAATTTAGCACTAAATTTGCTAAATCAAAAAGTCTGGGATTGAATTTTGCATCCGTACGTTAGGGTTTAAAACCAATTAGGTAATTTTTCCCGAAATATCTTGTCATTTGTCATGGAATAATTTCCGATACTTAGAATATTTGGAAAGGTCCTTTCCCTCAAACTATATCCATTATCCATTACACGAGTGACATCTAAGAATAAGAGTGAAAGGAAAAACGAAAGACAAGGCTCACATTGCACGTGTAGTCAAAGAGACATTGATCAACCAAAGTCAACAATCGATATCATGGGTACCCTCTCTCTCTCTCTCTCTCACCGTACGTCCTATTTAATTACAATGGAAACGTGGCTATTTAGGAAGATAATTTGCAAAATGACTCTAATAAATGCAAACGAGGTGGGAAGAAGATAGTTAGTCATGAATTGTTGTCGGTAATGAAAATATTTTTTAATCTTTTAAGCGATATAAATAATCATTTTTTAGAAAAAATGTTTCCCAAATCTTGGAGTTTTCCGTGAAATAAACGCACCCTTAGTATGAGCAGAAAGAAAAGCATATATTGGGATTTCGACATGCGGCTGCACCATATGTTGCTGCTGTTGCGAGGTATTGAATGGGATGAAATTCATAATATGCGGTCGATGGTGATTGATCGGTTACACCGTGCCCTCGCCACCACGTAATGTAACCATGTAGGGTCGCTGTCATGGGATCGAGGACCACATGGCTCTTATAAGAGAGAGCGCTTCATGCGGTAGATTTTTGTTCATTACGTAACTCGTCAATTTAACGGCATTTTATAATGCCATGGAAGAATAATGTTTCAATTTAACGAACGTGGGAAATTAGGACAAGACCATGTGAATCAAATTCCAACACATACCATGTTCATCATGCCAAATTGCCCATAACACAAAAGGAAAACGGTTCTTCCTCTTTAGTAAGTTCAATAAAATTCTTAAAAGCTATACATTAGATGTTTATTACTCATTAACTCCCCATAGTCCATCTCCATTTTTACATCCAAATTTTCAACTTCACATCCGTAGTACATAAATCCTCATCTCCCAATAAAAGAAAAGCATAATTGCATTTGGCCGTGCACATTCGTTCAATTTAACGTTGGCTCGCAAGGATTAGATCGATGGGGGGATGGGGGATAGAAACCACATTCATATAAAGGAGCCACATCGTGCGAAATATTACGGGGGCAGGTCTTAATTTTGATACCACATTAGGATGTTTGAAACCGAAAAGTTTAATCCTATAAACAGAGGGAAATCACTGGGCTGCGTTTGGTCGATCGGATAAAAGTCAGGATAGGATATGTTTTATCCTATCCTGTGTTTGGTGGTGGTCCAGGATAGGATAAGGTCGGATATAGATCGGATATAGCCTGGATAAAAAAATCCGAGGGGGGGTGGGATAGACCTGGATAGGATTTCTAATGTCTATTTTTCCAGAAACCCTACGCTCCACTCGCCGTCATCTTCATCCCCACACCTTGTGCGCTTTCACCAAAAAAATTTCTCGGCTTTTTTTCCTTCACCGACTCCTCCGGACTCGTGAATAGCAAAACAAAAAAAAATTGTCCTATCCGACTTTAAATCCGTAGTCCACCAAACAGTGGATAGGATATGAAGAAATCCTAGGATTTCTTATCCTATCCTATCCAGTCCTATCCTGTTTAGAAATCCAGACGACCAAACGCAGCCTAGGGGTAAGCGGTTCCAGATTACATACAGGTTCCACTTAAAACCTGAACTTACCTGTGAGAACAAATTCCTAATTCCTTGGAACCCGAAACCTATTCTGTCACAAATTCCAAGATTGACTCCAATGTTTACTCATGTTCCACCTGTATCATTAATTAAAAGATTACAGTGAATCATCACCTTCAATGACCACAATTTGTTATTACAATTCACTTACCACAACTTATATTTAGACACGCGATAAAATATAAAACATTAACAAAGTAAAAATCATAGTCATAAAATGAAAGCTCAAACTAGTGGTTCCATATAATATACTCATTATTGGATGCCATGGAATATCACATGATTGCGCAAAGACATAGATCAGGAAAAATACAAAAAATTTATTTCGGGTTCCATGTGTCTAGTTTTAGGTTCCATGTTCCAGACATGGACCATGAAAAATACAAAAAACTTTTCAGGTTCCAACTTCCACCCATATAGAATTTGAAACTTATCCGTTGAAATAGGTTTTCTCAAATTTTGGGATTTGGAACCTTCCCTGCATATCTTGAAACCTGGATATCACATGTCCCCACTGGTCCAATCCTCAGGCTCTCAGTTTTACCCTAGAACTATGCTTACCCCTGTAAATCACATGTACATGAAAAACATATAAATACGGTATCCGGTCAAACCTGGCGAGTTTGTTTGTTTGTTTGTTTTTTTTTTTCGTGGGAGGAGAAAGTCATTAAAAGAGCATCTATTTATTAATTATCCGAATCTAATCGCAAATGCCCCGAATCCACGAATCCAAAAGCCCAATATTCTTCCGCCCCTTTTTCCGGGTCAAACCCGAGACCCGGATTCCAGTATTTATTATTATTATTTCCAGTATTTTCCTGCTAATCTTTCCTCCTCCTCCTTTTTTGTTTTTTTCGCCGCGGAACAAAATACGGTTCAGGGTCAGACGACGCCCGTCGACCTCTACACATTCTGTTACGGAAAAAGGGGGCGAAGGAGTCAACAGTCAACGGCCACGCCGTTACTTCCGTCCCTCGCCCCCACCACCGCCGTTCCGTTCCGTTCCGTTCCGGTATCGGGCGTGACCGAGCTGGGCTTTGAGCCGGGTTAACTTAACCGCGCCCTCCGGTTAAACCACCACCTTCCTTCACTCTCTCTCTCTGATCACAGAAAACCAACGGCATATTCTCTCTCTATCTCTACCTCCATCTTTCTCTCTCTACACGCACTGACGTTCTGCCTCGGGGGACATCGTTCCTCGCAGAGATCACCTCGAAGATCGCGGCCGGCGCACGCTCCGAGGTTGTCGCCGCCGCCGCCGTCGTAGGGTGGGCGTTTGTTTGTTTTTTTGTTTTTTTTTTTGGGTTCGTGGGGGGTTGGGGGGGGGGGGGGGGGGACCCAATGGGGGTGAGGATGATGAGGTGGCGGCCGTGGCCGCCCCCGGCGGCGTCGAGGAAGTACGAGGTGAGGCTGGTGGTGAGGAGGCTGGAAGGGTGCGATCCGCCGGGGGCGGGGGCGCGGGCGGGGGAGGGGGAGGGGAAGGGAGGGGGGAGGGTGGCGGTGGAGATCCGGTGGAAGGGGTCGAGGGGGGCGGGGGCGGCGGCGCTGATGAGGCGGGTGGCCGTGAGGAGGAACTACACGAGGGAGGAGCGGGTGGGGGAGGGCGGCGTCGTCGAGTGGGGCGGCGAGGCGGAGGAGGGGGAGGAGGAGGAGTTCGCGGCGCTGTGCAGCCTCTCGGCGCACAGGGACCGCGCGTTTCATCCCTGGGAGGTCGCTTTCACCGTCTTCAACGTGAGTCGCGTTCTCCTCAATCTACTTTCACTGGTTTTTTTGGTGCTTCGAGTTTAGTTTTTTTCTTCTGGGGGAGATGTCTTCGCAAATGCTGGTGCTTTTCTTGATCGAGCATCTTTGATGCTTTCGGAGATGCTAGTGTCTTTGCAACTCTTGACGGGATTCGGAGTCAGATTCTCCAACGATTCCGGTGATCGATCGAATCGATTTCGTAGTTACTAAGGTTTCCGGAAAGTCAAAAAAGTTCCTCCCTTTTCTTGGAAAGCCGGAAAGTCCGAGAGTGCAATCAAATTGAGATTTTGTCTGAACGGTCGTTCTTGCTTGAGATTAGGAAGTGAAGGGTCGTCAAGATGATGATGGATCATAAAATTTGCAAACTTTTCTATCGGTGTAAATGACCAAGTTACAGCTTCAATTGCGGTGGAGAAGAGAAACTTGTTGGCTGAGATGGTCATTTTCCTTGGAAATGGTGGCAGTTTTTCCCTTCAAGTGTTCATTACTGTGTGGCGTTATTCAGCATGTCTCTCTCTCTCTCTCTCTCTCTCTCTCTCTCTCTCTCTCTCTGATTTAATTATTTTTAATTAATTTTCATAAATTAGGTTGACCGGGCAAAAGTGAATGTGGGGGAAGATTTTGAATCTGTCTATTTTGTCTAATTTGAATATTGGGTAATTGTGAGGAAACTGAGCTACCCTCCTGTCCTGTGTGTTCAAGTTGGACAATTTTTTACTGCAGCTCTATTACGACTTCTGAATTGGCTTGTGGCAATGGCAATTTTCCTTTTTTTTCTGAATCCTGTCAAATCTTTAGTTGTGTTTCTTTTCCCCTGCGTATGGCTGACGCTATACGGCATGGCAAGTCCATTTCCTTACATGTAGCATGCTGATTTATAGTAAAATTGAGAAATTCAGTTGTGTTTGAACTTAAAACTGTTCCACAGGCAATTGATCAGCCCACAAAAAAAAAAGTTCGGGTTGTCGGAGAAGCATCATTGAACCTCGCCGAATTTGCTTGCGTGTCTGGGCAGAAAGAATTCGAGCTGAGTGTCCCTCTGATTACTCCTGATGGTGCTGCAAATTCGTCCTTATCGCTTTGTGTGAGTGCTGCTGCATATTCTCTCCCTACCTCCAGCTTTATGCTATGGATAGACTTCTTTCTGTAGAATTACGGGTCCTTCGAGTTGTGTAATGTCTAGAGCTCTTGCTCCGTGCAGATTGTACTCAGCTTAGTAGAACTACGCACTACCCAGGAAACAACAACTGACACAGTGCGGTCACGAATTACACCTGTTGCATCTCCACCGCAGTCGGCTGAAGCTGTTTCAGCGGGAAAAGATGAGCTTTCTGCTCTTAAAGCTGGTTTGAAAAAAGTAAAGATCTTCACCGAGTATGTTTCCGCCAGACGAACAAAGAAGGCTTGTCACAGGGAAGGGGGCAGCGACGGAAGATGTTCTGGCCAGAGCGACGATGGCGATTATAACTATACAGCCGACTCCGATTTCTTTGATGATACAGAGGAAGGACAGTCGGATGAGAGCAAGGGAGAGTCCGGTTTTAGAAATTCATTCAGCTATGGCACATTGGCATATGCAAACTGTGCCGGAGGCTCATTTTACTCAAGCATGAGGATAAATGCTGACGCTGAGGATTGGATTTACTATAGCAACCGCAATTCGGATGATGGTTCCTCGCATACGGAGGATTTCACTGCATCGGCGTTTGAGCAATCGCAGTCACATAGTTCAAGGCGTGGCATTCTGTCTTGGAGGAAAAGGAAACTGAGTTTCAGGTCTCCTAAAGCAAAGGGTGAGCCATTGCTAAAGAGGGCTTATGCTGAAGAAGGTGGAGATGACATTGATTTTGCCCGTCGTCAGCTTAGCTCAGATGAATCACTCTCCTTTGGGGTATGAACTTGCTTCCTATTTGCTTTTCTTTGCTTGTGGATTGCATTCCTTTTTCACACCAGTACTCCTTTTCAACTGGTGTCTGTTCAGTGAGTTTCCTCGCTACAAATACATTCACTGATGTAGTAACTAACTCGAACTCTTTCCTCAGTGGAGCAAGACAGACGAAGATTCATCTGGACATCGTTCTTCAGTTTCTGAATTCGGAGATGACAATTTTGCTGTTGGCACTTGGGAGCAAAAAGAAATTATAAGCCGTGATGGACATATGAAGCTCAAGACCCAGGTTTTCTTTGCTTCTATCGACCAGCGAAGTGAGCGTGCAGCAGGGGAAAGTGCATGTACTGCTCTTGTTGCCGTGATAGCTGATTGGTTTCAAACCAATCGTGATTTGATGCCCATCAAATCCCAGCTTGATAGCCTGATCAGAGATGGATCACTAGAATGGAGAAAATTGTGCGAGAATGAAATGTATCGGGAACAATTTCCGGACAAGCACTTTGATCTCGAAACGGTTCTTCAAGCCAAGATACGCCCTCTTTCTGTGCATCCTGGGAAGTCATTCATTGGGTTTTTCCGTCCAGAATGTATGAAAGAGGGAAAGTTCGATGTTTTTGATGGTGCGATGTCCTTTGATGATATCTGGGAAGAGATCAGCAGCACGGGATCGCAAACATGCGATGATGAAACTCAGGTGTACATTGTCAGTTGGAATGACCATTTCTTTGTTCTCAAGGTAGAGCCAGAAGCCTACTACATAATTGATACCCTGGGAGAGAGACTCTATGAGGGTTGCACTCAGGCCTTCATCTTAAAATTCGACCACAGCACTAAAATTCTCAAATTGCGGCCACCTGTCCAAACATCTGGCGATAACACGGCTGATGAGCAAAACTTGGTTCCTGTGGAACAGAATATCCCTGAGACTGAACGAATCAAGCCCCAAGAGAATTCGGAAATGACTGAAGAAGTAAAACTCGATCCTGGAGAGCCAACTGAATGTCATGAGATGGAAGAGGTCCTATGCCAGGGGAAGGAGTCGTGTAAGGAGTATATTAAGAACTTCTTGGCTGCAATTCCTATAAGAGAACTGCAAGACGATTTAAGGAGAGGTCTGATTGCGTCAGCACCTCTTCATCACCGGTTACAGATTGAATTGCAATACACAAAGCTCTTACAATCGCTGGCCATAACTCCGGCAGAACAAATGGTCGAAACAGCACAAACTCTTGCCAGCAGCAGCAGCAGCACAGATGGCCTCATGGAGACATGACTCTGTAGTGTGGTAACCTTAAGCTCAGCTACTACTAACTCGATTCTGTTAATATGCCTTGTGTTATAATGTGAAGAGGGTTGACAGTGCAAAATTTTTGGTTTTGAGAGCAAAGAGGTTGCTCATGTTTTGGACTTGTACAGAGAGATCCTTTAATCCGTCCGTCTGTGTTGAACCCTTGTTTTAGCTTGGCTGAAAGAGGTCTCACGTGAGTATCCGAACTTCTACATAATTCTGACTCCGTTCTATTTCCCGGCAACTTTCATGAGATTTTTCTAATTGTTTTGTCCCTTATCTGTTCCCTGGCTTGCAGAAATTCTATGTACATAAACTTTTAAAAAGGTTTTATGTGTGATTCTGAACTTTATCGTGTATCTCTCTCGCCGATCGCAGTGTTGAGGTTTATATGAGGAGAACCTCGACCTGAATACACGCTCAATCAAAAAAAGATCAGAGTGTTTCCGGGGCACTTTAGCAGATTTGTTAAGCAATTCAAGGCACTGATTACACGTTTGGTTAGAAAATCTAGTTCTCTTGAAATTGAAAGTTCCTTTATTGATTAGTTCAACAGGGGCCTGGGAACATTTGATAGCAGACAGAGAAATCTCTGTTGAATCTTTCATTTGAATGAGATATGGTCCGCGTGTTGAAAGGAGTGACTGACTACAGTCATGATGTGCCCAGGCTACTCCATTATATGGTCCCCAGGAGCACAAAGTCATGAATTGGTTGCCATGGCTTCTTCACATGGGCTGCAATGAATGGCTGGGAATGACATTTTATGTGGACCATGGACCCGAACTCGAAAAGCTTTGGTTGTATAAAGAAAGGGCATGATAGGCAGGAGGATGGTCATTGCTGGCTCCTGATTTCGAATTTCTTAACTTAGAAGTACTCGCCACGATTTCTTGCGGTTAACCCGGGCCTTTCGACTCTTGAAAGCTCGGTATCGGTACAACCCAGGTTCACTCCTTCCATCTGTTATAGCATTGTTGGATCCTTCACAGCAACTACTCTCTCCATTTTAGCAGAAACTCTTCAATGGATTTGATCAACGGCCCATATGTGTGACCCCGCGGTTTGTCTTATAATAAACCTTAATAAACCGCGGCATGCGACAAGTCCACAGCTCTAGCTTATGATCAAGGGGTGGCTCCTCATTCCCTGACCTCGTCAGGGCGACGCGAGCCGTCATTCAGGCGGTGCAGAATTAGAATTAGAACTATAGTTTCGCGCGACGACATTAAGTTCAGGAGGTGGTACATCCTGATGTACAAAATGTTAGACCTGATGCCATATATATGCCTAAAACAGCAGAGAGCGTGGGTCAATAGTTCCACGTCCTATCTTTCAGTGATAGCGATGATTATTGAGATTCGTTGGTCGACGTGTTGAATTATACTTATTCAGTTGATGATACGCTCACTCAGTAGTGAGGCTGACCCACTTAACACTTTTACAAATTTGAGAATTCTAAGTTTTATAGTTCGAGATATCAGAGTGCCTACTGAAACTCTTTTTTTTATTGTTTTGCCTAATTTTCTGAAATGTGGTATATGTAATTTTGGTATGTGTATTTTTTACGGAGTTAGGTTTTGCGCTTGTTGAACAAGAATCATCTTAGTAATTTTGAAGATCTAAGGATATATTTGCGGTTTATTTGTGATAATTTATAGTTAGTCTACATGTTCAATTTCGATTTTTGTAGTCGGGATTTTACACATACATTCAATTTTTAAAGATATGGTATTGGCTACTTTGATTCTAACTAATTGAAATTATAAATGATAAAATCGTAAAAAGGGAAAAAACATAAGTAAACATTGCAGATCAATTTGAAATAAGGGATTCGGTACCCTGTGCTCTATTTGTGGATAGATCCTCTGCCTCCTGTTTCAATGGTAATAGTAAGAGGTCTGACGTCTCGCTGAACTACGAAGATTTGCTCTTCCAAAAGTTAGATTTATGTTTATTCAACTTGTTTTAGTTGTCTCCGTACGACGATAGTGTAGGGGAAGCCGAACTTAGGCGAGCACCGCCAACTGGTAACATCATAATTATTGGAGAAGGAATTTCCGATATGTGCTCATTATCAATGATGATACAAGATTCAGTGATCAGCCGCCGATTATTTTGCTTGACGGATCCGTTCCTATGGGATTGAGTGTATGCTAAATACTGCCGGTGTTATGTTGATCCTCATTTTTTTTTCTTAATTTGGCTTTGTTCTGTAGTATTTTGGGCTTTGCTTCGCTTCGCTTCGATTTTCTTTGCTATAAAAGTTTTTGTATTTCTCATATATCCTTTTAAGCAATGAATATAATTTTTTTCCGACAAAAAAGAAATTCACATCGAAAGTGGTCATCCCAAGTTCAGTATATGCTTGAAACTATAACAAGAACATTGATTATGTGCTTAATTTTAATCAAACTATGAAGTACTCTTGAACTCAAAAGAATTTGAATTGCGCAATTAGAACCCTTGAAATTGAACATCCAATTTGGATTTGGATTTTGTTAATGATTGTCTTAAATATCTTACTAAGGAAAGCTTGATATCTTCAAAGTATAACCTTTCCCATATTCTATGTAATCAGTGCATTAAAAAATGCAAAAAATTTCCTTATAAAATGGGGTTAACAAGTGTTGGGGCATCCATTAATAGGGCTTTAGCATTTTAATTTATCTAATCACATTACAACACTGAATCACACATTAGCTATGTTTAAGTTGATCAAAACATTTGATGTGTTCGATTTTAATATTAAATATGTCTTTTGTGATTTGATAAGATACATCATTAAATATATTTCACTAGATCAATTCAAATGGTTTGGGCACTTAAATAATCATTAATAATTTATATAATTAAATTTTGCTTCGGACAATAGTTTTAAAACTTCTACCATCCTTCTACCCGAATTTAGACGATTGTCAATAAATAAAACATTAAGATTGACTGGCATGTTATAGAGGAACAGTTATAAGAATCAACCATTAAACAAGATTAATTATTGTCAATCTCAAACAGATTATGTTGATTTGGATCGACAGATAATTGGGAGGAAGTTGATGGCACAATAGCAAGAGAGTCTGAACCACAATAGTTGCAATTACCTCTGCTGTGGCCACTAATAACGGATCAATGGATTAGTCCAGTTAGAAATTGGGTCTAAAAACTTGTTGGGCCTGCATATAGGGTCGACAGGCTTATGATCAGATATATGTTGACAAAAAGTTCATGTCTATACCGTCTCCACCTCGGAGCATTGACCAGTGTCTATAGTCCGTGCTCTTGAATCAAGAGGCCTTGTGGATCGATCATAAGCTTGATCAAACTTGGGTTTCGGGGCTCGATGATCTTGAGCCGAAAGAACTCCTAAATTCATCCACTATAAGCTAGAACAATCTCTATGTTTGATACACATTTTGTTGAAGCCATCAGAACAGGCCACGTTCCAAAGCAACCAAAGAATCTCTTACCGTGCGGCCTTAAGAATCTCTTCCAAAGTGAGCCTTTTTCGCTATTTCACTTGTGAATGAGATACAAATGAAGAGAGGAGACCCCTTATATACAAGTACATGTTCAACTGTATCTGTAGATCTCTCCTCGATCTAACGGTTACAGGAGTGTACATTTACAATATTGTCCACCCCCAGTCGTATTCTAGAACATACAAGATCTAGGACTTAGTATCCTCGACGTCCGCCCGCACGTTCATGGATCAATCACAGTCCATCGATCCGAAACCCTCACATGGATCTGGAACTGAAGAGACCTACCCCATCAATGTTGGAAGTTTTACTACTATTAGTAGCAGCAGAACCAGCAGCTAAAGATCTGCAATGAACCATGGGCCATTGCTACACAAATAGCATAGTAGCAAAGATCCACAAAGTTATAGATAGTTCCGCTACTTATGTATCTCATGTAATCAGCAGAAAAAAAACATTCACTGTGCGAATACGGTTGGTGTAACATGACAGTAGAAACTTATGTGTCTGTTTCTATAACTGTTAATTGTTTTTATAAAAAAATATTAAAAGTTCGATTAGACTCACGGACCTATTGAGCTGAGTATTGGCGAATTTGAGTTCAACTTGACATGATACTTGAAGCCAAAATTGACCGGATTGACTCAATTGACAAAACGTGAAAAATATTTAGGATTCAATTAGCACAATTAAAAAAATTGACACAATTAAAACATCAAGACTAAATTGGTAAAAGTGAGCGATCCATTTCTGTGGGTCGTGACACTTCCACAGCAGTATCTTGTAACCCTCGAGATCCAACTTTGAAGCACCCTAATGACCTTTCGGAGTCAGACATCAGTTCAATGGCACAATACAATGCTCTGGCGGTCTACGCCATCAATCCAAGCACACGGGGATCGATATTCCAGTGATTTATATAAGGTTGTTGATGGGAAAAAAAACCCATTAGTACTATCGAACCCACTCGTCCCATAAAGTTATCGCAATCGAATAGCTATTCGTGTCGTAGAACTATTAGTGCTTTGAATAGAACATTTACACAACAATGACGGGAATAACATGAGAGACAGTCAGTAAAAGCCTGACTGCAATCCGGACAGGGTTTCAAACCCTCGACGATCACAATGCCAACTTATTGTACTCTATACACGTAATATAGCGTATTGTATTCCCACAGGCCAAGTAAATACTTACACAATATCATCACTAGAGAAGATAGAAGTATCCACTCACAATATAAGGGTCTCATCTTTGACCGACCAGCACAGATGAGATGCACACTTCATGGCCCACAACGATCCTTAACTGTCCGCTACAGATGAGGCCAATCCAATGTCGAAATCAAAGCCAATGCATGTGAGCTCTCGCTTGTCCCCATCATACATCTTCATCTTCAGGGAATATGAACCCTGCATGCCAAACATGATTACCATATTAGGTGAAATCCACGACACAATATTCCAGGAATATCTAGAACCAGAAGGAAGTCATGCTAGAAGGGAGCACTAACAAGAATTTGCACAAACAGATCACACCCCCAGGACAAAGCCAGCAAGGACAAAAAGCAAGAAACGAGGTTGGAAAAAAAAAAAAAACAAAGAGAAGAAGAAGAAGAAGAAGAAGAAGAGAACCTTAAAAGGAATAGTACAATATCAACTTAGCATTCATATGATGTTCAAGTCATTTCATGGTTTGGAGCGGTTGATATGACATTCTACTAGATTGCAGAGACAAAACCCAACATCGCAGCACCAAAACTGCGATGATCTATGCATTTATTAAATTTTATCCTATTTGTGAGATCATTAAATTATGAGTCAGGGGCATAGAATAAGTTACACCAGCTATATTGATACTTAGGACAACATCACCATACTTCGAGAATTAAATTACAAGAGAAAGCATCCAACAATTTCAGTGAATATTTTTGCCAAGATTCACTTGCACGCGGACCCAAAAGTATTATCAAACTGACCAAATAAAAGTCGAAGAATACTATCTAGATATGAGAAGAAAGGAAAAAATGAATGCGTCAAACTGTCCGATCAAATGGCAACACTGCTCTGGATAAATCTAGGTCCAACATTGACTATGGTGCTTTAAACAGAAGAAAGCCATTTTAAAAATCTTGGCAAGAATTAAACCACCACAGGCTGCAGATTAGAAAGTTCTGGAGATGAGCAGCTGGAGTAGCTACAGGATTTTGTTTCCTTACCACAGAGAGAATTCTTGCAATCAAAGATTTCTACAAGAATATTCTAAACATGGAGTAACACTCGTAAGGAGTCAGAAATTTTTTTTTAAAAAAAAAAACAGAGTTTCAGTGGACGAAAATAAGGTGCCTTAACGGAAGCATAAATTGGGTAAAAAAAAAAAGGCAGTATAAAACTAAGCAAGGAGACCCTGTAAATGGTGGTAGCAATGTCGCACAACTGAGAACTTCCAAATCTCATTACCACCTCTTTATGTCAGGTAACCAGGCAACACTTTAACAAAAACAAGACAATGTAACATTGAATAGACATATCAAGGAAGCAGGATTGAGATCTTAAGTTATTGCACGTCAAAGTAAGATTTGCAATCACGTTCCTCTTCTGCATTATATTGCAAAACAGTAGTAAAGAGCGCAAAACAAGTTTCTGGGATTTAAATCTTGTAAAAATGAATCATCAAAGTATAAACTTACTGGTGGTGTGTATCCTGGCAGGACTTGAGAATGAGCAACCACAAATTCCCCTGTCGTTACGGGGCAAGATGTCTCAGAGCAAAGGTCATGGGTCTCACTGTGAATGTGCCACCCAAAGTATGAAACATCAATAACCAGTTTCCCTCCAGAGATTGCCAAACCTGCAAAGACAACCCCAAAAGCAATGGTAACGCAGAGCACACGTGCATGTTGCCCAACACATATCTTGACAAAGCATCAAATTTCCTAACTTCTTTCTTTATTTTTGGGTCAGAATCAAATTTCTTAATTTGACTGTGCCTTATTTCGCTCTAAACAAGAGGTAACGACACCATCGACAAAGGAAAGTGAAAATGGAAACAAGAAACTACCCGTCGATGCAGAGATGCTGAAAGTAGCTGTCTTGCCTCTCGCAACCGGATAAGGCGAAATCTCAACCCCCGTCACCTTCACATCATATTCAGTCTTCTTATCTGCATCACACACAACAAACCCATAACCAAAAGGGGGAATAAGGGGGTAAAAAAGAAAAACAAAATCAACCCTATTGAGCAAACATGTATACTTCATCACTTTCAACACCAACATCTAAGCCACCACAAACTACCATCTATCTTAAAAATCATTTACGCAACAAATCAAGCACCGAAATTTCAAATCCCTCGTTCACATCCTACGAAACTACGATCACGCCATCATCGCAGAACATCATCAAATTCTCCCGAGACCCCATCATTCGATTCGAAAAGCCACGGCGACAGGGGGAAAAACTGACCGCAGTAGCTGACTTCGGTGGTGGTGGCGGCGGCCCGAGCCAGGGACGCGACCGCGCAGAGCGCCAACACGATCAGCTTCGACTTCACCATCCTCACGCACCACCCACTTCGCTTCTCCGGCCTGTCAAGGCAAAATAATCAACGAAATCGCAGAAATTTCAGATTTTGCAGAGAGCCCAGAAACCAATTCAAACCAATGCATGGAAAATCGGATCGCAGAGAGATTCTTCCTCCAACCTGCGATTTTGGGATTGGGTTTTGAGCAGCTGCCGTCGGGGATCGAACGAGGCTCTTCGTTCTTATCGAGGAACAGGATCGGATGGAAGTCGTCGGTTCGTGTTGCGGCACCTCTGACTTCGGGAATTTTTCTTTTTGTTTTTGGCTTGACTTTATTTTTTTGAATTTCGCAAACCTATATTGCAAATGACTCCTCCGATTTCCCTGTATTTGCAATGTCATCCCTGCGCTTTTATGTATGGGTGTGCAAAGGAACCGAGAACCGGGAACCGCCCAAAATCGGACTGGACCTGCAGAATCGATGCTTCCTAAGGGAATCAGTGGATACCGGTCCGGTTCTTGATTCCACATGTGGAACTGGTCCGGGTCTGGACCGGACCAGTAACATATATTTAATTTTAAAAAAAGAAAAATTCTAAAAGTCGTAATCTGAAACTCGCTCGTCTCGTCTCAAACTCTTACTGTCTCACTCTCATCTCAAACTCTAATCTCTCTCATCTTAGTGTCTCACTCTCACCTTGATCTCTTCGTCTCCGTCTTTCGACTCATTGCCTCAACTCTCAAGATCAACTCCCATTGACTCATGGACTCTTAATATCTGGTTTTGTATCTGTTTGGAATAGCTTTACTGACACTCCAATAATTCTGTATCTGATGGCTCTCTCTAGACTTTGCCATCTAATGATGCTGCTGGTATTTTGATGGACAACGAGGTATTCTCATATCATGACTTCCACTCTTATTCTAGTACTTTTTGAAAATTTATTTTCATTAGCTACTAAAAATTTAGTTGTCATATGAGTTGCTTTAATGGATTGGTAAATAACCACAACTGCTCGCTGGAGAGAAACTTTGTGTCACGGCATGATTTGGTATGAGATGGAAGTTTTTTGTTTGTTGCTTTATTTTCGCTTGAAATTCCTCTCTGCACTGTCGGGAGGAGGAAGGCAGCAAATGCCAGTGTTGTCGGACTTGTGTCATCGAGTTTAGGAACGTCGTGGCTGGGCATCGCGTGAAACTTAGTGGGATCGTGCGGTCCGGTTCCCGGATGGATCTATGGAACCGACGGGCGTTTTCCGATTTCAATTCTTTAGAACCAGTCTTTAGTAAGCGGTTCCCGAGTCCAAGGTGGGAACCACCCACCTGGACAATACTTGTCCCTACTTTTATGTTTCTTGCCATAAAATTTTATGGTCTAATCATATTCGATGACTATTAATTTCACCTATCGTGGAATGTCTTGAGACTATTGTGTGTGGATATTTCTTTAATTTTTGTAGCAATAATTACGTTAGGCCGTCGTCGAGACTGTGCAAGAATCTTGCCAGAGTCGAGTTCTCACCGACAAGGAGGAGATTGATGAAGGATGAGAGTAGGGGTGATCGGTTCCCGGTCCAGTCCGATCCAGTTCCCAATTTTGAGAACCGGAGACTAGACCGGTTGGTCTTAGGATCGGCAACTAGTCACTTTTTTATTTTTTTTTTACCACAACAAGAGAGAGTGACAAATCTTAATATATTGACGGAAGCGATGATGAGTAAAGAGCCATTGTGGTGGGGAAAATTACCAAAAAAGTCCTAAACCTTTTGCAGCTGTGCCAATTCAGTCCTAAACCTCTTTTTTTGGCCAATTCAGTCCTAAATCTTTTGCAAACCAGCCAATTTAGTCCTTTTGGCCGGCTGGCGTTGATGTGGCCACCGGCCGGCTGAAGTGGTGCCGGCCGGCGTTCACGTGGCAATATTTTAATATTTATTATTATTATTTTCGAATTTTTTTTCTTTTTTTTTCTTTTCCTTCTCCCCCCTGGCCTGTCCGGCCAGGGGGGAGGCTCGCCGGCGAGGGCCCAGCTCCGGCGAGGCGAGCTGGACCCTCGCCGCCGCTGGGCGAGCTCGCCCGGCTCCGGCGAGGCGAGCCGGGCCCTCGCCGCCGGGCGAGCTCGCTCGGCTCACGCAAGGTGGAGCTCGCCATGGCTAGGCGAGCTCCGCCTCGCCAGATCTGGGCGAGGCGGAGCTTGCCCGGCTCCGGCGAGGCGGAGCTCGCCCCGTCATGGCGAGCTCCGCCGCCATGGCAGGGCGAGGTCCGCCTCGCCGGAGCCGGGCAAGCTCGCCCAACTCCGGCGAGCGGAGCTCGCCTGCCATGGCGAGCTCCGCCTCGCCGGATCCGGGCGAGGGCGGAGCTCGCCATGCCATGGCGAGCTCGCCTCGCCCGGCGCGAGGGCCCGGCTCGCCTCGCCGGAGCCGGGCCTTGCTGGCGAGCCTCCCCTGGCCGGACAAGCCAGGGGGGAGAAGGAAAAGAAAAACAAAAGAAAAAAATTCAAAAATAATAATAAAAAAATATTAAAATATTGCCACGTGGACGCCGGCCGGCGGCCACGTTAGCGCCGACCAGCCAAAAGGACTGAATTGGCTGGTTTGCAAAAGGTTTAGGACTGAATTGGCAAAAAAAAAAAGGTTTATGACTGAATTGGTACAACTGCAAAAGGTTTATGACTTTTTTGGTAATTTTCCCCATTGTGGTGCGACGATAAGGGGAAGCGTTGTACGTGGATTTAGTTTATATTATACTAATTTTTTTGAATTTTTTTGAAGAAATAAAAAAAATATATATATATTTGTAGTTGGTCCGATCTGGTTCCTCCTTGGAAACGGGAATCGGACCGCTCAGACACCGGTTCCACTTTTAAGAATTGAAAACCGAACTGACACTCCCAAGAACTGGACCAAATCAGCCGGTCCGGTCCGGTCTGAGCGGTTCCCGGTCCGGGCGGTCCGTTTTGCACACCCCTAAATGAGAGTCTTGCAAACACAATGTTGGATTTATATGGGATGTTTTGATTTGATCTAGGATTTAGATACCTATCTTCGTTTGATTTCACTTGTTTTAGACTTATTTCCCTAAGTGAACTCTTACTTAGGTCCCGTTAATATCGGACTCACAAACAATTGTTTTATGAGCTTCGATGATGCATGAATACTAATTATCGAGTTTGGCGTTTCGGTCTCTTTTCTCTTATCTCTTCAGTTCCTCCTTCCTTTTCTTGCTATTCGATTTTCCCGCCCAATCTACCATTCCAAACCTATCTTTCCACGCACCTCCGTTCATCATTTTACCGGACGACAAGCATCCCAAGTACAAACATGGGAGACGCATAGATAGGTGTCGCCTATGAACGAGTTAAAAGGAGAAACGGGGAAAAGATCTCGAGACCTCTGAAGCTAGATTTGATTTGTTTTAACACAAACTTGAGACGGAACTTACGACAAAGCAGTAAGCCATTGTAAAGAACAAAAATTTGTCCTAAGCAATACCGAAGTATATAAGACCAAGTCTGTATTAAAAGTTTAAACTGCTCGCGCTATTACGATGAAGCCTTGAGCGGGAAGCCCGAGCCATGTCAAAAAGGTTAGGTGTCGAATTTTAGGCATGGGGCTTTGAATCCAAGGATAAAGTTGAGTGCAATGTTATTTATTCAGAAATACTAAACTTTTAAAAGATAATGCGAACTATATTTCATATCTTAACACTCTAAAAAGGCATCACGAGGAAATTGGACAGGAAAAAAAAAATGAATTACTAGGGTTAATTAGGTGCTCATTATTGTTTTAGTTTAGTGTTGCTTGAACTTAAATGCTTAAGACTTGATATACATTTCTAGGAAGATTCAAAGATAGGTGAGCCACCTCCATGCATAGCAACGTAATTGGGGTTGACCAACATAAAAAATTGATACTACACAATAAGTCATGGACTTATTCTTTGCTACTCGGTAGATGGTTGGGAATAGATTACGTTGAAAGTTGACTTGCTTAGACTCCATTTATTTTATAAAAAATGAATAATTTAAAAAATATTTTTTAAAATCGATCGTCTGTATCGCTTGAAATAATTAGTTAATATAAAAAGTTTTCATCATCAACAACAATTTATGTCTAAACACATTCGTGGATGGCGAAAGCATTTTTCTTTCATTCATTTCTGTAAGTGATACAAGTGATCATTTTCAAATAAATAAATTTTAAATAATTTATTTTTCGCGAAATAAACAAATCCTTAATTGACTTTACTTCCCGAGAAATGTATGTGTGGACACTAGCTAAGGGTGCGTTTGGTAACGTTTCTATTTCTCTATTTTTTCTGTTCTTTTGCTCCCCGGAATAGAAAAAGAACAAAAATTCGTTTGTGTATATAAGTTAATTTTTCTATTTCTCGAAATAGAAAAGTAGCCAGTGAATAGATTTGGAACAGAAATAAGAAGTAAAAAAATCTACTTTTCTGTTTCCAGGAACAAAAAGAGAAACAATATCAGTTTAGAGAAACAATTTCATATACCATTAAATTCCAAAACCCTAAAACCCAAAACCCAAAACCCTAAAACCTAATACCCAAAACCCCAAAATCCAAACCCAAACCTCAAACCCCGAACTCCAAAACCCAAACCCCTAAACCCCTAAACCCCAAACCCCAAACCCCAAACCCTAAACACAAAACCCTAAAAACCTAAACCATAAATTCTAAACCCTAAACCCTAATTTCCTCGATCACCACCTGGTATTTACTTTGTCTATAAGGATTAATTTTCTTTATAATCGTATTAAGATCATCCAATTCTATATCATAATATATTTTGATTCTATTTATAGTCTAGTTTTATCCAAATATGAATTGTTTAGTCTTCACTGACATTTTTATAATTAAATGAAAAAAATTGGGAATAGAAACTTTTAGGATTGTACCAAACGCATTTCTGTTCTTTTTTTATTTCAGGAATAGAAAATTTGTGTAGTTATCAAATAGATTCTTTTGCTCAGAAACTTGTCTATGGAATAGAAATAGAAAAAATTATTTTTGAACAGAAATTGTTTCTAGAAATATAAATGTTACCATAAGCACATTAGCTGAAGATTTATGAGCTGTACCTTGAAATCTGGATCAAATCACTAGTCAATGTCCATGTTTCTGCTAGTCTAAGTGAAGGATGCTGACATGTGCTTCCAGCATGTTTCCATGAAGAACAAGAAAGGGTGATGAGACGGTAATCTACCGTCCCCCAATATATCAATTTGACACATCCTTAGTCTCAAACTCAATCAAATCGTGTTGGTCACATCTATGGAATTGTTATAGTGATAGATGAAGTCTCGCTGCCCTAAATTAGCGCATGTTTTAAAGCCATGCAAGCATACATGAGACACAATTTTACCGGTGACGCTTTCCAATGGGGGCTATTTTAGGTGGTATCAGAGCTAGATTGGACATGTCGGATCCCACGTTATCGATACATGAGCCGATGTATTGGTAGAAAATTTTGATCCCATGTTACCGATACATGAGCCGGTGTATTGGTAGAAAATTTTCACGCTACTTCAAATTAGCAAGATAGGCTTGGATGGGGATACCTAAAAGTGAAATGTAGAACTAGTAGTGTCGTTTACGACTAAAATTGCCATTACAAGTAATATAGTGTAACGAATGTTAGAAATTCTTATCAATGCGTGTTGCTAATCGCATAATATTTTAATTTGTAAACAATAAGCTGCTATACAAATTATAAATTATATGGGTCAAAGTGCCCAAATACAGTTATGGAGTGATCATATTATATTGGGCTTTAACACATACTGGTTATGGTAATAATGTGGTTGGACGGTCAATATAGACCGGTATTTTAATATGAGCATATGATGGATGGGATGGTTACAATAAACGCTATAAATAAGCTATGGTCCCATCTCCTATCCTAAGGGTTGAAACACTTATGATCTATCCATTTAAACCATTTAAAGAAGGGAAGGGAGAGGAAGACCTAGCCTTGGAATTTGTGCACTCATTTTCAGGTTGATCGGTTCAATTGATAATACCACCAAGCAGGGCTCAATCAAGTATAAATTTGCAACACAATTTCTAGGTACTCTGAATCTATATATGAATCCACAGTCGTTAAATTTCAATATGGGGCATCAGAGCCACTCTTATATAGATTTAGAATCCAATTGATACTTAATCTTGATGAGAATTCGTGCATAGTGCTTTCGTCGCAATGTCTATTAGCTGAAGATTTTGTTATGACATTAGATAGTTCTATGTGCTTAACTTCGAAATTGATATAGGGCTATTTTTAATTTATAGCATGTTGAATAAATCTTTTTATATTCCATGACCTAAATCGGCCTTAATATGCGTTGATTTTATATTAGATCGAGTTATTGCCCTCTTAAGCGAAGATTTTCTCACTACATTTCTGTAGCAGAATCCTGTCAAGCATCATCAATTGGAGTAGGAAGATCGGCTGTTCCCAGCTATTCATTGTCTTTGTGATAGGCACCGTAGTAACTGTTTCAGAAGGAACAATCGGAGGAATAGAAACAACTTGATTTGGTTTGGAAGTTTCAATAGATGTCCAAGCTTCAGCAACATCAAACTCCAAATGCAAAAAATCAACGTTCTTACTACTAGGAGTAGGACAATAAAACCTGCAAACTTTTGACCTTTCAAGATACCCTATAAAGAAGCAAGGAGTAGTTCTAGGATCAGCCTTTTCTCATATGGTTTTCAGATGTTTACCTCAGCAGACAAGCCCCAACAAGAAAATAAGTTGGGAGAAGGTTTTCTTTCGGTCCAGATTTCGCGAGTTGTTTTAGGTACAGATTTGCTAGGGACTTTGTCTAGGGCATATATGGCAGTCATAAGCTTCATCCCAATGATGATTGGGTAGGTTATACATGCTCACCATGCTCCTCACCATATCAATAAGAGTGTGATCCCACCTTTGGCCGCACCATTTGGTTGATGACTATATGGCATGGTCTATTGGGCAACAATCTCATAATTTTGCTGCCCGGTTGCATCACCACCATGACCAGACCTTACAACCTTGATGACTTCAACAGGTGTGGTAATGATCACAGTTGTGGTATGGAAGGTCCCAAAGCTGCCATAAAGAAAGTTGTCAAGTGTTTCTTTTGAAAAAAGAAAAGATACTGAATAAAGACTGCTTTAAATCATAAGAGTTTGTTTTGTGTCCACTTTAGCCGACGCGTCTTGTGATTCTTGGCGAATTCATGGCGGCGAGTCTGTCCATGGTGCAATCTCATTGCAGGGGTTCAGAAGCATATGGAAACCAATTCAGTCTGACCAAGCTTAAAGTAGTGAATAATTGAGAAGTTGCTGACGAGTTAAATAGGTGTTGTTAGGTTGACTTAAGAGTCTGGTTTTGAACTTGTTTTGGAAAACACCTTTTATGTTCCTTCTTTTACAAGAAATTTGATTTCTATTCAAGTGTTGGACGAATCTGGTTTGTCATTTGCTTTCGGTGATAGTACAGTTCAGTTATCTTTGAATTGTACAGTTGTTGGATCTGGTGCTTTATGCAATGGTTTATATCAATTATGTTTGGTTTCGAATCATGTTCAAGAATCTCTCTGTTAATCTTCTGTCCCCAAAAGATCTTTGTCAAATGAGATGCCTTCTTTATATAATCCGTGAGAGAGTTTCTGAACAAATTACTCTTTAGGCTATGGGAACTTGGTGCTGCATCTACATCCATATACACCAAGAAATTTTGAATCTGATACAAGGAGATGTGTGCAGTATGAACTTGAAAAAAAAGGAAGACTTGAAGAAAATGCTATCTATATAGAAGAAGCTCTGGAGATCCAAAAAGAATATGAGGCTAATCATACAAGGAAAACTGCAGTATTAGCTGGGAAAAAAAACAAGAATAAATATCCCTATATATAGAAGAAGAGAAGAACATGAGCTCATTTACAGTGGAACCAACATGTCCAATTCAGAATCCTATACCCTTCTTGATGAGGATCTATATATGATTCAATCTCTCCTACTCGCGAGTGGAACCACCTCTGCAAGCGGAGTCGGGAGCGGAGTCGGCAGAGGCGACGTCCTACACACCGGGCACGTAGGGTGCAGCCGCAGCCACGGGTCGATGCACATTTGGTGAAACAAGTGGCCGCAGTCGGGCAACACCCGGAGCATGTCGGTGCCCTTGTAATCCCCCAGGCAGACTGAGCAGCAGCTTGCGGTGGAGCCCATCCTCTCGAGCTTCGCCTCCGAATAGAGCAGCTTCGGGTAGCCCGTGATGGTGGCCTCGTCGAGGCCCACCTCCACGACGACAACTTGCTCCGGATCAGGCGGGGGCGGCCGCTGCTGGTGCCGCATCCTCCCGGAGGCGGCCGACGTCTGGAGGTTCCGTGCGCAGAAGTAGGAGGCTAGGGTTATGGTGGTGATGAGGAAGAGGATCCCGATGGAGACCCCAATGCCGTAGCCGAGGCCCCCGATGTTGTTGCCGCCGAGGAACCCGCCTGAGTCCGTGGCGGTCGTGTTCATCTCCTCAAGCAGCCTGTAATCCAATGGTCAAGATGGTGGTGAGATCGGTTAGAGGTGTGTGTGTGTCAGCCATGGTCACGGCAGAAAGTAAGGGCTTTACATGGGGGATCAAGGATTCAAAAGTCAACGGTAGCAACACGTAGTGATGGAGATTGGATTGAGAGAGAGAGAGAGAGAGAGAGAGAGAGAGTGCTTTAATGAAGGGAAGATGCATTTGGGCAATGCGTAGGAATACAAAAATGTTAGAAAGTCTAATTGCTTCGAAAGAAGTACTTGCGAATACAAAATGAAACATTAGTAGGTTTTCCTCCTTAGTTTTTTTTTTTTGGCTACGTCAACGGTTTGGCCTAAATACAGAAGACAACGCGTTGTTTGTAATCCTTTCTTTTTTCTCTCTCTCGCCTGCGGTTTGCCAAGCCTATTCTATTGCACGAAGTGGGGGATACGTCAGAAAAGTTAGAGTGACGTGAATGATTCTATGATTATTATAGTCACGGGGGGGAAAATTTCAAACTCTGTCACCGGCTTTCGTCCCTGAATATGTCAATTTGGATACCCAATTTTAGAAAAATATGCGATTTGCATCTCCAGATAATATCCATAGGCTAAAGAATGCCAATCTCCCCCCGCAGAGACGCCGTGCCGAAGCGGACCCTAGGTGAGCTCTATTCTCCGCATCTCTCTCTCTCTCTGTCTTCTTTACCACGGCCCGGTTCAATGAAGGGTCGAGCTGGACGACACCGTGATGAAGCTCAACCAGATCTTGGTCGCACTGCGGTCTAGCTCAATGTTGCACTGGAGCTCGACCAATCTATGTTGAGCTCAATGCTGCGGCACATGAACTCGACAAGCGACAAGCCATGGTTTTAACTACTTATCTTTGCTCTACCAGATATAGGTTTCTTGACACGAACAAGGTGAAGGGACCCCAGCTCTCAGCAAGGGGTGGTGGCTTTACTGAGGGCGGTGGCAGCGGGTCGCAAACGCATCCAAGGAGGAGAGGGGCCTGAGCAGGGGGGGTTGGGTGGGTTCGGGTTTAGGGTAAGTGTTCGCTCGTTTTACGACGAGGAATACCTTTCACCGAAACTTTGATTTTCGATTTTTATTAAGATAGGTTCTGTGGCTTGATTTCTAAGAGAGTTGTGGCGAAAAACAGAATGTAGCACAGGATTATATGGAACGGATTGAAATCGAATGGATTGAAAATGGATCTGAAATCAACAAGGTTCCAACCTACGTTACAATACTCCTATGAAAGCTGTAAAGGACTTGAAAGTTGACTAAAGTTGCAGGAAGCTGTAAATGCAGGAAGTAAAGGTACATAGGAAACTAAGTGCAGATAAGCTTGAGTGTTTTTGCATTGTTCTTGATGTCCCTTCCTCTTTCTTTCTTATGAGTATTTGTATCTCCTCATATCCTGTAACTGCTTGCCGGTTACTTCTATGTTTTCAAACTTTGAATCTTGGCGCTTCTAATAACTGCCTTATCTAACCACGTTTTTTCAAATTCATTGTCCGCTAAAACTTGATCTCAACAGCTGGGACGATTTCAAATTTGGACAAGTAACTCCCCACAATCTGCTCGTGCTCACTATCTCCGCTTTTTGCTCATAACTTCCTGCTATCATGATTTACGTGGCTGGGCCGTGATTCATCTTTACCGATTTTCTGTAATTTCGGTATATTCCCGAAGTATAGACTTCCCGAATTTCGGGAAAGAGTTAACGTTCCGAGGCATAATGGCTCCAACGCTTTTTTTTTTTTAACTCCCGAACTATGACTTTCCATGTTTCGGTAAATATACCGATCTTCACCAATCACCGAATTCGGGATATGATGTCATTCACGCTTGCTTCCCAGCATGTTCCTAATTTTATCCAAACGTATTTCGGAAGATGGCTGATTTTCATTATACACTAGATTCGGCATTAAAGCCGACTCAGCGTCTATGCCGATTCTTATTTTGGTATCAACAGATGCCCCCTTTTAAAAGGATTAAAAGAACTTTTAATTCTTTTAAATGTCAGAAAAAAGGGTACTTACTTTTTACTCTTACTGTCGTTTCGTCACCTCGCTTCGCGCGCTTGTCCTTTCGTCTTCAAAACACTTCTTCTAAAAATCGTTCCTTTCCTCGTTCCTCTGCATCCTCAACTTCTCGACTTTCTGCAATCTCTCCCAACATTCGTCTAAACCTAATGGCTTCCAAAGCTTTCAAGGATCAAACTCTTTCCTTTTCCGCATCAGATGCCCTTGATCGGTACCATCTGTTCCGAGATTCCGAGGATTTTAATGAAGAATTTCATCTGCTCTCTGTGGAGAACAACTACGAAGATTCTTACATCCTTGGCCCAGCAGTTCACAATCACTTCTCTGTTCCAAAATGCCTGTCAAGCCACTTCCCACGTCACCAATTTGAGGTACTTCCAGTCCACGAATCCTCTATCTTGGCGTATTAGTGGCATTCTCGTCTCCCTCGCCTTAGGGCTTTTTCTGACTTTGAGCCTGATTTCTACCAATGGTACCTTCGACTCCTTCCTTCTAAGGGTTCTCTTTGGGATACCCTTTTGATTCATAATGCTCTGCGTCTTAGCTGCTTCGATTACCATTTGAATCACGAACTGATCGGCGCATTATCCTATTTTTGGTCAACTTCCACTAACTGCTTCTTTTTCCCTTTTTCTCCTATGTCGGTAACTTTGCTTGACGTATATTGCCTTACTGGGCTTTCTCCTCTAGGTACAGACCAATCTACTCTGTCTCCCGATTCTCGTTCGCTGCTTGGTAAATTGTCTGATTCTGAAATGGCCTATGGGGCATTCATTAAGAAAATACTTTAAGAAGGAAAGTACAGTTACCGACGAGGAGCACACTGCTTTTCTTTTGTACTGGCTTTGTAAATTCCTTTTCTGCCGCTCTATAGTTAGGGTCTCAAACGATTTTGTTGCTGTTGCCTCTGCTTTAGCTTCAGGGACCTCACTTGCCCTAGGCAAAACAATGTTGGCCCTGTTATATCGGGGTTTAGCCCATGCTTCCTCCTCCATTGCTTCAGACGAAGTTAGTGGAGTTTTTGGTGGTCCTCTTTGGCTTCTTCAAGCATGGGCAGCTTTCTATTTCGCTGCTTGGTTTTCCAAGGATCAAGTTCTCCAACCCCTTTCGGTTTCCATTCCTGACCAACCAGTCTGCCAAGCCTTGAGCAGAAAATTGGTCCCTGTTTCCAAAGAGCCATCTTCTTATTTTTGATACTTTATTTCTCAGATTTATTCTATTGAAGAGAATTCATATTCCTTCTCTCCTTTCTTTGTTCCCCAATTCAAGTCCTACCTTCCTTCCTTCCAGAAGAACAGAAGTGACTTCTGGCAGACTGTCCTGACCTCTGTTGATCTCCCTGTGAGATTTTCAACAAAAGGTAGGTTCGTTGCTGGCTTTGAAATTTATTCTGCCCAGTACTGTGCCAGACAACTTGGGTTGATTCAAGGGATTCCTGTTCTAGCCCTTTATACTTTCTTCTTTGCTTCTTTCGATAAAATATCCTGCAAACTGAAAGATGATCAACCTTTTGGTGAGCTGACCACACTAGTACGGGGTATTTACCGATTGTCTCGTGTTACCAAATTCACTGGATGCCCCGATCGTTCTTCAGCTGAGTTCGATTTCTGGTGGAATGGTTATCGAAAGACTGTGTTTTCAGATCCTCTGGATCAGATTCTTTTGAAGATAAGAGATGCTGTTCCTCTTACAGTATCAAAAACAATCGAAGCTGCAAATATGCCTTCAACTAAGCCAACAGAGCCCTCTAAAGGTAACTTAATTCTGCCTTTCGATATCTATATATATATATATATATATATATATATATATATATATATATATAAATGTTTTGTTTGGCACCCAACCTTCCATCTGACTTCTTACTCTTACAGTGAGCAAGAAAAGGAAAGCTTCATATTCAACTGCTTCAGAGAAAGTACCAACAAAACGTGGTAAATTATTCAATTTAGCAAAAAAAAGAAGAAGGAGAGTAATTATTCGATCCTCAGAGTCATCTACAGAGGGTCCTCCAGCATTGATTCAATCTCCAGAGCCCATACTTCGAGCTATGATAAAGCCGCGCACTCCGAAAGGTAACTCTCATACTTTATTTCTGGAGGCTACCAATGTGTATATTAGCACTAACTTGTATATCTTCTAATCAATCCAGGAACTCTCAAGACCTATCAGTCCAGTGTTGCTTCCCCTGTTTCTTATCCTAATATGACATATTTCTGGGCTTGTCTCCTCAGCTTTCGATCTCTTGAATCTGGATTCTTCAAATATTCGATGATAGTTTGTCTCCAATCCTTTTCTCGAACTACCTTGCTAACTGCTATCGGTATCTTTCTTTGTTCAGTAGAAGGTGCCGAAAGTGTTATAGTAGTTGTGATGTCTACCAACTCTTTTGATATTCGGTACCCAGAAGCTACTTGAGCCAACTCGTTAGCCTCGAAATTTGTATCTTTTTTAACATGGACTATGTCGTACTCTCTGAATTGCTCTAATTGCTTCTTGGCCAGATAGTAATAACCAATCAAATTTTCATTCGAGCATTGGTATTCTCCCTTTAATTGTTTCACCACCAATTATGAATCACCAAATACTTTGATAAACCGTGCTTTCAACTCAATCAATATTCCCAAGCCAATAATCAGTGCTTCATATTCAGCTTGATTATTTGAACATTCAAAATCTAACTTAGAGACGCACCTTGTAAGTTCCCAATCGGGAGAAATTATTATCAATCCAGCTCCAGCCATACTCTTAGCACGTGATCCATCAAAATACATAGTCCATGGTAGCACTTGACTGAGGCTTTGCTCATTTTCTTCCATTTGTAAACATGGGTATTCGGTAAGAAAATCAACAATGGCTTGGCCTTTTACTGCTTTGATTGGCATATATATCAAATCAAACTCAGACAAGATAAATGCCCATTTGACTATACACCCTTTTATAACAGGTCGGGATAGTATATATTTTATTATATCAGTCTTACCGATCACATGCACTGTAGTTGGCAACAAATAATGTCTTAACTTCATACAAGTAAAGTATAAAGATAGACATAATTTTTCAATTGCGGTATATCTTTTTTCAACATCAGTTAATGCCTTGCTCAAATAATATACCGCTTGTTCTTTTTCATTCTCATTCTCTTGTGCCAACATACTCCTGATAGTTATATTGGTAGCCGATAAGTACAATTTCAGTGGTTTGCCTGCTTTCGGCGGCATTAATACAGGAGGATTCATTAGATAGGCTTTGATCAAATCAAGCGCCTTTTGTTGTTTCTCTCCCCATATAAATTCGTCCTGATTTTTAAGACGCATAAGCTGTGTCATCGGCTCCATTTTATCAGACAAATTGGCAATGAATCTTCTAAGAAAGTTTATTTTTCCAATCACCATCTACAATTGTTTCTTTGACGTAGGATGGGAAAGCTCCATGATAGCCTTTGTTTTGT